GTACGTTGTAAGAATATCAGAAAAAATCCGGACTTCATAACCATCCATATTTCACATGATATAAAATCGAATACATCTCGTTGACGTATTGAATGATTGTAAGTACATGCAGTGAAATTGGATTCATCACACTCCGTTGGGTACCCGTGCGCAACGTGCAATGAAGTTCTATCGATCGCAATCAATCGCCGTACTTCTTTTTTTATCGAATCCTGGGAACCTTCAAAGTACCTATAATGCATCTACAATTGTTTGAAATAGTACGTTTCACCGACTCCATTGTCTGAAACTCGGAACGACCGGTTACTTGAAATTGACCCGACCTGAGATACGAAACAAGAGACTTTCAAAGATTAAATGAAATGCGCCAATCGGGTAGACGCTCGGGCACAATTATCCGAGATCAATATCCCTCAGGAAAGAGTAAAATGATACTGCAGCAGACAACGTTCACGAGAAGTCCTCTCCTTTTATTCCCTTCTAAGAGAAGGAACGGGTGAATATGTACGAGTTCACTTCTTATGACCAGATACAGAACGCGAAAGTGACTCGAACCCATCAAAAGTCATGTTCTTATACTTGCCAATTACTCTGCTACTACTTAAGTCGGAGTCCTTAATATATTTAGAAAAACGTACTGATTCTAAAAATGTTCCTTGATATGTAGACTTTTACCATTTTTTACTTACAGAAGAATACCTACTAGATGAAATATTTAAGAAACTACTTAAAAATCTCCTTCTTCTCGGAATTTATGTCGCTAACTAGATCTGAGTTGTTCAGTTTAAAAATATCAAGTTTTCCGTATGTCATGTTTTCCAATGACTCTGTTGTATATGCAAGTGTAGTCAAACAATCTATCTTTACCCATGCGCTCAGGGACATTCCATGACTGGCTATCGATAGCACCAACTGACAGAAATAATCTCCATGCCGACGATTTATGTTGTCTCCCTTTTCTCTGTAGTCTCCTTTAACGCATTAATGCGCTCCTGCAGTTCCACGAGCGACATTAAACCGTTTTTTTTTTTTTCGTTTCCATGTCTCTGGACGCCCTCTATTCATTAGTGACAATTTTTCTATCCGGCTACACATCTAGGTGAAGTATATCCCATCAAGCCAAGTATTTTTGAGTCGGCTCCTTCAGAAAACCAGTCTCGTTGTAATATTTACACCGTTTAATGTGAACCAGAAAAGTTATTAAATACAGACCTAAATACGTTGCTTCTCTAACAGATTTCAGAAAACGATTTAAAACATTCCACCTTTGCCTCTTATATCTGTTACAAGAGTTCCGCTAGTACTCTGCGACATAACTATTTAAATTGATAATTACAACAATCTTCCCGAAATCATATGAAATATTTAAATATATCTACTTTAACAGTTGTAACCGTGCACTATAACAGTTACCTCAAGTTTATCTTAAATTCATCAAAAAATATCCCTCGGAACTTTATGAAGAAAATCTTAAATGAAGTTAATTTCTTGAGTGTTTCTACCGAATCCCTTATGGTAACGATCTACTCTAATACGTGAAAATGGCGAAGAGACTGAGACTTTTACGACCGCGTGGGCTGACGTCGTTCGGCCATTTCCTCGCATCTGGACCACGGTTATTCGACTCCACCTTCCCTTAAACCGACTCCCGTCGAGCTGCACCGAACTGTTAGGAAAGTTTATGTTCATGCATCTAATTAGAAAGGGTCTCCGCCGGTATCGAGGAACAAAATTGTGCCGGATTTGTCGTTAAACCGTCCATAAGGCTCGGTCTGGCCGACTCGGACGTCTCGTTAATGTGTCAAAATGGTCGAGCCAGCCCGAGCTTTTACGGCCGCATCGACCGCCGGTCGTTTCGTAGCACCTGAGCCAGTTATTTGATTCCGTTTCCCTTGAACCACTCAAAATGGCTCGCGCGGATTGCATGTCGCGGAAGGCTCGCGGAATGACAGCGAAACGGCAGCGAAATGGCAGCGAAATGATGATGAAATGACATCTGCATACGCGATCGCGAGACATCTATGGAATCGAATGTAACTTTTATCGAAAGGTCTTTATTGCCCGATGTTTCTCGATATTCATCAGTTTTTACTTTTTTTGTTAACTAGTCTGCGGGTGCCTTGCATCGCTTGGATAACTGCCGACCTGATCCGAATGCCCGGCCGCAAAATATCGAGTTTAATTGATTCCACCGAGTCCTCGAAGAAATAAAAAAAAAGAAGATAAAAATTTCCAATGCATTTATGAAACATATCGGATTGATCTTTAGCCGGGGGCATTGACATGCAATCATTCTATTGCGTGCAATTTCTATGGGAACTAATATTTACGTGAGATGGAATTAGAATTGTGCATACAGGTGTGGCAATGCGTAAGGAAGAAATGTTAAAGTGATTGCGATATGGAGAATAGATCGCACGTCGTCACAAAATTGAGATTCAGTGGAGCCTGCAAGCTTAAAAATTCAAGCATTTCAAGTATGCTTGTCCCGATCGGCACAACTCATTTTGAGTGTCTTTTTTCCTCAAATTGACCGAATTTTACTCAGGGAGGATAAGTTTTCAATTTTCACCCAAGGGTTAAAAAGTAATGCTCGAGCCGCTTTCAGTAAATCTGCAAACGAACTTCAATTCGATAAATAGTATGAGCACCACCATATACGTGGTCTGAAATATTAATGAAAACGCAAATGCTTCAAATGTAACAACGACAAAGAATTAACGGAAGCCTATGAAAACCTTTCCAAATCGATTCATGTTAAATCGTCTAGAACAAATGTCTCCTCTCGGGCACAATTCCCATTGACGAATCTTGAAATAAAGTTTTAGTCGCTTCTTAGAAAATTCCATAACAGCCGGAAACCCTCCTCGGAGTACTGCGCGTAGCAAATCGGCGCTGAAAATCATCGGATTTACAGCGTACCGTTGACGGGATGTAGGAGCATTGACTGGTTCGGTCATGACCCACATCGAGGAGTTTACTCCTCTCCCCACTCGTAGACACCAATCACTCTGACTACTGGTTGCGAGAGACCAGCGGCTCGTCGTTTACGTGCGCTTCCACGTGCACCAGGCATTCGCCACCAGCTGACAAACCTCGCGTTGTATTATTTGCGGGGAGTCCATTCCTGCATATGCGAAAGACTTTGATTAGGAGCTAGCTAACCGTATCATGTTAATCAATCACTTTCATTGATAGCTGTGAGATTAAACATCGTCACTTGATGCCGGTACTCGGATGGATGGTCACGGAGACCTCAGATTTCTGTGGCTTTTCAAAGATCCCATCCTTAAGACGCGAAGAAGCGTCAATTGGCCTGTCATCTTATATGAACGTTATTTAAAGTAGTTAGAAGTAACTAATCGTCATATTTCATGACAAAAACCCGAATGGTCATGTATGCGCATAGGAATAGGATATTAATCGATAATATTGAGAATTATCGATCGGTGCCCGAACTGCGAAGAAAATTCTTAATGGATTTATCGAGAGTTTGGTAAAGCGGGCAGTTTACTTCTTCCGAAAGTACAGAATTGAATGCTTAAAAATTATTAATATACATCCGAGCGGCGCCTATTCCGAATATAGTTGTATAATGGTCCTGGACGTTCGGAGACATCCTAACTTTTCCATCTCATTTGAGTTTTCTAATAAATCGCATTGTAAAATGATCGTTCGTTTCCCGTTATACGAAACCCGTCTTTGCAACACCGGCTTGATGATACTTGATTTACTATTATTTGGTATATAACTTCGCTGACCGCTAATGGAAGACCACTACCCACGTCGGGTAAAACGTCCGTGACATGTCCATTAGATGATTAAAGTTTCGAGAGACTCTGATGTCTCTTGACATCTGTCGGATATTATTTAGACGTCGAACGGTACGCTTGCTATTTCAGGACATTTATCTAAGGTCCTATAAGAGAGTAGGGGCTCGTCGCTTATATGCGTCCTCACACTTGCAGCCAGCAGACAAGGTCCGTTTGTAAGTTCGGCAAAACCGAGAAATCTCATCCATCCAGTCGAACTCGTAAGCATCATTAGCAATTCGCGTCGTCATAATCTCATCGCCATTCGACCGTGCAAAACGAGGGTAACAAAACCTCACACCATTTGGAGCTTCCAGATAATTAATAAACAGATTGCAGAAGGCTGTAGCGAGGTACAGTTTGTGAGCTTTAGTAGCGACCTCTGGGAACATTTCCGGTGTTGCCGGGTTACCCTGCCAGTGCGTGTCGCTTTTTGTCGCGTTGTACCAAACGGGATGAACTTTTTTCTTTCTTTTTTTCCTATTCTTCACAGCAGTCGTTGCCGTTAGCGACGGCGTCCCGCGATCGCACATTGTAACGAGCACGTGACGCCGAGCAAATGGTCTTTACGAACGGGAGTACGACCGGCCAGCCGTTAGACGGACTCTACGCGATACACCGCCGGTTTCGTAATTGCAGCAGGAGCTTAATACGGGTCTACGATCCGAGACACTCTCGGTGCGATATAGCCGAGCGAGCGTTACGTAAACTCGAACAAGCGCCACTCCCAGCCCAGCGAGGTTCACCAGAGTTCATGCTTCGCCTCGACCAGCTTCGACGTCGACGTGCAAGATCTATACGATGTGACGTGAATGCCGCGAGTCGACAACCGGGAGCTTTTTTACAGGAACCGGCACATGAGTTTCGGCTGCAGCCGGGTGGTCCCCTCGAAGAGTACCAGCGGTTTGGTACTGTTCAATTTTTTTTTTCATAAACGTGATCTCTTAAAATACGAGGCAGACCAAACAGGGTAAAGAAAGAACGAAGAAAGGAGCTTAATCGCGAGATGAGTCGGGGAAAGGACAAAGGGTTACTATCTACGATATTATCGTATACGTCATGGGTACGTGATAAGGGTATGCGAGCATTGAAATGAATAACGCCGTATGGTCGAAAGCTGGATCGGGTAGAGAGGACTTACCGATGTTTACCCGGGAGGAGGGGAGACAATAAAACATTAATAGACAGTTTCATTTGAATCATTTTTTTTTTTGTATTTTCGTCACTTCTACCGTAAATATTACAAATTAGAAATAACATCACATAGTGTGGTACTTAATACAAAAGATATTGCAGAGTCAGCAATACTAGTGTCTATGCGTACAAAACGTGTTACGCCGCGAATTCGGAGACACGACCGATCGTCAAGTTTGACTGTTCCAAATTGTCTAAAGAGGAGGCAGGAGAATTTGGAGATTTTCCCTTGACGATTCTCCTCTGGTTTATACTCGTGAGATCATGTTATCTCTTTGGTGTTTACGTGGAAATACCTTTTCTGTTTTCAAGCTCGAAAGATATTTCCCTCCAAAACACATACCTTATGGCTGTTGTTTCGATTCTGTCCACCGGGTTCCACGAGGCAAAGAGAAAGCAAACGAAATTTGGTGCAGAGTACAATACTGTTATAAATCAGATATTTCTATACTACTCAACAGTTAAGGTGTGGAGAAAAGAAAAAAAAAATGTGAAACCGATTGTATACGATTCCAAAGCATTCTAGTGAAATGATCTCGTTCACTGTCTATTCTTATCGAGAATCGGGATATAGACGAACCTCGCCAATAAACACTCGTTCTGACTCGAGTTGCACCACGGTTATTTTGAATACAAACACTCGATAAAATTCTCTCTCCACCGTTCTTAGCCCATTAAACTCTATTAGGAGTAAATATGGCCGATTTCTACAGATTTCAAAACAATTGACATTGAGGCCTTACAAGAGACCTTGCAAAATCGTAATGGGTTGCGCTTCTGTGTACGGTGCAGAGACAAATACTTGTCATAATATCATTATATGTGAAAAATTAAATATTTTACATATATCTTAGTTCTTTTTTTATAACTTTTAACTCAGTATAAAATATACATAATAGCATCTTATACTCTGTTACTACGTAATTATAATGATATAAGATCACATATACTTTTTATAATTGCAGGGTAGACGATTTCGTTTAATGTGTCGTTATAATAAGTATCGATACAATTATGTGAGACATTCAAACGAAATCATTCTGCCCCACCCATAGCCAACTGGCAAATTCGTGTGCAAGCTGTCTTATTGCGCCTTCGCGTCGCAAATTTCAAGGCTACAGCAAAATCCACTGAAAATTGTATTTATCCAACCTTTCATTAGAAGAGTAGAACTTAGTTTTCTCAACGTGGAATGATCCATCAAGATAAAAAAAAAAGAACAAAACAAATTATCGAGGCAAAGTATTCAAATATGCAAAATCCTGTACTGCATAATTTATGTTGAAAAAGAATCCTTTTCATTTTCTTTTGCTTGACGCAAAAGAAGCTGCACAGTCATTGCACAGCTCGAACTTAAAACTTACATTGATCACACTTGCTTTTCTTTAATATCACAATACCACCAGTGGATCGGTATATCAACTTCCCCTCAACAGCACACAAATCAGAAATTATTTCCAAGTTATCATAAACATAAAAAAAAAAATGAACAAAGCATCCATTCGTTCGCTCGATCGTTCGTTCGCTCGTTCGCTCGCTCGCTCGAATATCTCGTAACAATTTTGTTGACACTGAGATACACCTTATTAACGAATCCACAGGTACGATTTTATATTCTTCCAAAAACTACGTAAGGGACAATTCACAATAACGATTAAATTGAAATAAAATGAACTACGAACAAAGAACACTACCGATCCTCTTTCTTTTTTTTCAATTTTGTCCAATTATCATAAGAATGTGTAAGATATCCAAATTCAAAACGTCAAATATATTCACTACTAAACCAAATATGGCAATTAAAAATGTCATTTCTTCGTTCATATCATTAGCGAACAATTTATCAGATGACTACATTTGAATTTTGACAACATTGACAAAATGTAAGTGTTTATATAACGATACAGCAACCAAACTAATTCATTGACACAATGTGTATTAATGTTCATTAAACCGTTTAAATACAATTTTAGAAAGATGGAATATTTTGACGAAGTGTCCTCGGACACAAACAGTTATCAGCAATTTATGCCTCTGTGCCCCTTGCACATACTGATCGAAATTGACAAGATTGAAAACAAAGAGATATCTATTATTCTTTGAAAGTGCTTCCAGAGCTAAGTATCCCCCCCTCCTGTTTAAAAAAATAAAAAACTAGACAGACCAACGACTGAGATGAAATGGCTGAGCTGATGTAGCAGCTCACAATGGATATGAACGCGTAAAGATACACCTTACACACTGGACAATCAGATAGCACATATGCGTATCTCCGTGCACGCGAGCGTTTATCGCGTGTGACAGTGAGAATGATAAATGGTCCGCATGACCTGCACTCGATAAACTAAAAACTAACGTACCTAGCTATCTACCACTAGTCGATAAAACATCGTTACACTACATATCACGTGAAATTTGTTAGGAGTCTTAATGATGCATCTTCGTTAATGAAGACATATACCTCTTCTTAGAAGAGCTACCTACCATAATTTGTTTTCTCGCTATCACAATGTATTTTAAATCTTACCGAGTAAACGTGTATATAATTCCAATAAGTTGCAGTGGGTAGGATGGTAGCATATCTCTCGATCAGTCTCTCGGAGTTGCTTGTAAAGTGTGGATCTTAACAAGGAGACTAACAGAGCAAATGGAGACAATTGGAAAAAGTATGCATGCATACGTCTCTCTGAATCTCCTTTGACACATGTGAAAGAAATGTCTATAAGACGAACTTCAAAATTTTATACCATCGATATCCAGCTGCAGTCTCTCCTCTCTTCCTCCCTTTGCAGCAAAGCATGTCGACGCTCGTCAAGTCAAACACACATTCTGGCATTTTCGGTATCGGTAACCACCGAACTTACGGAAAGAGCAGTTATCTGGTGCAGACCATGTCATCTTAATGTATCACAAAAGACTGGCCACCAGTGAACCTCGGGGCAGAGATGAATGAAGATCAGATCGTATCGATGGACCCACAAAGGCATGGCAGAGCCTTTCAGTGATCTTGCTGATAGGATCTGTACAGCTTTTTCTTCTCCAAGCTGAAGTCTCGGCTGATCATAATTGTTCCACCACGAGTAAGATTTCTGCAAAAACACAACAATTTCTAATTAGTCCCCATTATTACTCTATACTATAGTATAGTATTTTCCTCATTTACAAAATTTTCACAAAACTCATCACAAACTTACTTCAAAAACTGTGGCAGCAATATGTGCCATGAAGTGTGATCCTGCTTCAGCGTCAGGTACAACTCGAACGTCGACACCGCGCTAGGATCGCACTGTATCCTGGACAGCCTTCGGCACATGTTATCCGTCTCGAAACTGATGAACAGTGTGCAACCTCTGTAACAAGAAAAAAAACCAAAATGCTTAATAAAAGCCCTCAAGCTCCACTCAAATGGCACGTTCGAAAATTTAAAAATAATCGTGTACACCTTGTAACGTTATATGAAAACAACAAATTTATCTTTTTTTTCTAAGTATTCTAGATAACTCTCAAACTCTGTGATGGCTTTCTTTGATAATTACAGATTTCAAGACAAAATGTAATCACACTAAAATGTATTCACTTTCATCTTCCAAAAAGAAAAGACTAATATTTGATAAACTCTACAAGCGTATCTTTGAAACGATGCAACAGCTGAGCTGATTTAATCACGTTTCAAAGCATGTTTCGACACGTTCCAAGCAGGTCTATACTCGTTCTTCCGTATCCCCTCCCGTGCGCTACTTTACTAATCAGCAAGCAACGGGCGTCTCGAGGCAGCCGCACACCGGAAAGGATGAAAATGGCACGAAAACCCGAACGAGTCGAATAAAATGAAGCTGTTCTTACCTAAGACCACAGGGCTCGTTTTCGGCCATGGCGAGGACATCCTTGGCTATCTTCGGTAAGAGATCGGCAGGGAGTAATACCTCGCCGCAAGCGAGCTGCGCGTGCTTCGCCGCCCTCAGCTCGACCTCCAACCTCTTCGCAAGCGCTTGACAGGCCCCGTCCAATTCGTCCGTCACGTATCCAGCTGAAACGCGAGAGCAACGCCACTATGTCATACACCATCGGTAAGGTAGAGCGCGAATGCACTTTCGATGATGTCGGGGGGGGGGGGGGCTAAGGCCGGCAGAAAGTTCTAGACTCGGGAACGACCAGCGACAATTTACCGGCTCGAGAGCCGGCTTTAAAATTCATCAAAAGAATCAGATGGGATTGATTGAATCGGAAAGAAGGGAAGAACAGCCCTTACGTGTCGTGAGAAAGGTTTAAAGAAATTCTACGTTATGCGGTGTTCCATTTTTGGATTGAGCCCACGTTGAAATTAGCGATTGCAAAATAAGCGAGTTATACTTAGAAACGTCAACAATTTATGCGTTGAAATATCCACAAAAACAATTTAACGATCGTAGGTAATAAAATGGGTTTGAAGTCTTACTGAAATTCTTATCGGTTCTCAACTATTTTTTTTTTTTTGTGATAATTTCACGGCATCTCTCGGGCCTTACAGTTTTTCCCTTTTCGATTATTGTTACACGCACAGGTCAATGGGAAGAACTACAAAAACCGAACGATGAACTAAGGACTATTTACCGACAACGTGAAAGTCGAAGCCAACGTTAGGAAGGACAGAGCAAAATTCTGATGCAATTTTACCGGGCGTTTCGAATTCACTGCAGAATTTCAGATTTTTATTTCGAGAATGGTAGGTGGGTAAATTCATCGAAACGCTACTTTTTCACTGAAAAGATGCACGAGTTGCGAATCAGATGGCGATTATCGTTCGAACGAAATCAGCTGATGTTCGGAATCAGCTGGGCGAGCCTGTCGAGTCAATTTTGATGGACTCGTGGCTAACGTGACCTCGCTAGATTGCTCCACGAATGCCTCTAGCATCGAAATATCGAAGAAAAGAGAAAAATGATGGAGAAGAACAAAGAAAGTTACACAATAGTGGAAACGAGACTCACCTCTGGTGTTGCTGAAGCTGACGTTGACCGGGCACGGTAGTACTTCCATGATTTACCAATGATCGAGGACCGACTGCGATCACCGGGACGACTTCGTGATGAGAAAGGACGACACCGCTGCGCCAAGAAATTTACTCGAGACTGAATTTTCGAGTTTGGGATTCGAGAAGCTAGGGAGGATGAAGTTATCGTTTGCCAACCCTCTAAGAACCGGCGTTTTTCGCGAATGCTCGCTCGCTCTACAGTGACAACCGACCAACCTTCACGGCACGACCTTCGAACAACTGATTCGCCGGCACCCATGACGCGACTTATATACCGGCATGCCTACCCCCCTGCACCCGACGACCACCCCCCACCCGGGCGCCTAGCAACACCGGCTACGTGATGTCTCGCACTGACTCCACTTCGGCCGACTCCGTTGGGCTTCGGGGGCACTCGGGTCCTCTAAACTGCTCGTAGTTGCCCGGCCGCGACTCGGCTCTCGAGCCACGCTCGAGCCGGCTTCGACACGAGCTTCCTCGGCTCTTGCCGGTTGGCAACGTGACGCTAGATTTTCATTTTTCGGATTCATTTCCCCGAAATAATGTCCTTAAGTATCGCGATGTCGCGGTTTTGCTTCTTACTACCACTCAGATCCGATCTCGAGCGTCACGGTCGGGCACCCCGGAAATTGCGAGAAAATCGAGAAAATAGACGGGAACGGACTACCATGAGCGCGGCGTTTCTTTGTTTCGTCAGCTCTTCGATCACACGTTGACTTTAGAAGCAGTTTCTACGTGACACTTCCTGACGCGGGTGTGTGCCGCTTCTTTTTACGGATAGTTTAATCACCGAAGGATATTAAATGGTGTCTCGATACTTTTATGACTGGAATGAAAAGTGTTAAAGAATAATCTTCGATTTTTGCAAAATTTATAAGTTCTCCAAATATTATTTTGTTATTTTTATTTTTCAGACTTCCACTTTATTTACAATTAGCTTAAAAATGAGCAAAATTCTGCCTTTTATCATATGTTCTAGAGGTTCGAATAATTTATTTCAGTACCTAAAAAATATCTTTCGGAGCCACGTACGGCTAAACAGTTATTTTCTTTCTGACGAGATTTAGAGAAGATCCTTGAAAACCAAATGCCGATGACTGCATGAACTTTTTTAGGTGCGGTATTTCAAATCTTTAAATCGTCTCTTAATTTAAGCAGTATTCTGTTAAATCAATTCAGTTTAATTGGACCAGTTAGCGATATATTACATATTCGTATTACACGATGACGAATCGATGCGCTTTTGTGGGAGATAAAGCTTTTATAAGAAGAATTGTAGGCAAAATAAATTTGCGAAATACTTTTCTTATTAACACGCGAACATTTTCCCACTTTTTACTTACAGCGTATTTTTTTTTTGTCTTTGAACTCTGCAGTTTTTCGCCACTTCTAAAAATGTTTAACGCCATTTCGAGAATTATCCATTGTTTCCACAGTAGGGTAAGAGCCGGGCCATTCATCTATATTTGTTAGGGAATTTAAAAATCTGAAAGATTATTTCCTTTTGACACATGACCGTCATTTATGCGAGGAAAGCTACAAGCTTATCCTCTTTTAGATTCGCTCCGGCCGAGTACTTTTTCAATTGCTCTCCCGCACATCCTTGCTAATTGAAAGATTTAACATCGTTTGAAGATAACCCGAGCCCACTTTTCGCGAGATCAGAATTACTTAGGATTACTGCTAATTTTCCAGCGGAGTTTCCTAATTATAACAAGCGAGGGGCTCATCTTTTCATGCTAAAGGATATATTACGCGTTGCACATCGTGGATGACGAATGGGAGCGCTTTTAAATTCAGCAAAAGAACCTTTACGAAGGGAGTTACGTGCTAAATAAACCCTCGAGTTAATTTTGGATTTTCCTTCGTTTGCCAACTCATCCACTATCATCATAATACTCACGTTTCTTTTGTCATTTTCCTATCATTTGTTGAAAGGGACCCATTTACGAGCGTGCAAATTTCCTACGTTTAAGATATGAATTTTACTAGAATAGATATTACCTTCCAAGGGTATTACCTGCGTAGCGGCACGTAGCCCGTCAGTTTCTGCAAGTTGATGCACTACCTACTGTTACAGAGGATAAGTTCAAGTACCTTGGTATTTTAAAAGTAGTGAATCGGAATAAAATCACTGTCATCTAATTTTGCCTTCATATTGAAATAATATCTTACTCAAATATTTTCTCAAAGCTACTTAATCTTCCCTTTCGAGTTATTATAATTTTAAGTTCCATCTCCCCATGACAACTACAATTCTGTTTTTAATTATAATCTTTTATTACATGCTTCTTATCATTCAAAAAATAGGGTGCTAACAAAGAAATACGACTTCGGCCAAGTCTGTAGCCATACCGTAAAGCAAAGACACCAAAATTTTCCGAAGCCCTCCAATTCCGCATCTGGTAAATTTCCACGCCAGGTACCTCGGAACTTCTGTCACGTACACGAAAGAAATTGGCACTAGTACTTCCTAAATTTCCATTCAAATGATCAATAAAACCAATATGAATAGATTTTCGACAAAAGTCGACTGTCGCAAACAAAGAGTCCTTCATGGAAAGTTTCGAACATTGGTCAGGTAATATTTTATCGTTCCAGGAGCAGTGCATTACATATTATGTAATAAGAGTTTATTAACGACATCGGTATCGCGTGTCTTGGCGAGCTGTACGTCGTCCAAACAGGAGCACGAGTCTCTAACAAAGGCGAGCACGGAAGAGAAAAGTCACACCGGCTCGTCGAAAAGAGGGCGTCAAAAGGATTGCGAAGACTACGACTGGCCCGAGAAGAGATGGGTTCGATGGATTTTCGACGAAAGAGGATCGTTTGTTTTCTTTCATTGGATTCGATGAATAAGACGGAATTGCATAAATCAAATTATACGCTGTCCTCGCGAGATCGTCCATTCGTGTCGCACAGCTGACGGCTGAGCGAGAGGACGGAAAGGAGAGGAGCGAGCGAGAGAGTCGCCGGGGTGCAGAGCACAGCAGAACGAGGGGCAAATATAGGGGGGTCAGAGCGAGTTTGTCGGGTGGGTTCTCTGGAGGGGAGAGCTGGAGGGGAACGCTGGGGGGCGAGTGGCGGGGGGCCTTAAATGGAAGGACTAGAGGGGAAGTGCTGGGCAGAAGGAGCGACACTCTCGCACAAAGAAAAAGAATTTTATCGCAATAAAATGAATTACCAGGTTTAGTTAAACCGCACTCCCTGCGAGGGGAGAGTTCCTCAAAACTCGAGCGGTTGTGTACTTTTGGCCTGCAACTTAAAGACATATAATACGAGATAGAGGTGTTTATCGACTCATATTGTACGTATTTTTTTATTACTCTTAGGTCTAAGTGTGATTTATGTAATGAACGGAGAAAATATTCCATCGTTTTGCATGGGTAATGATTACGGGAAAATAATTGAATGTATTTGAATATTAGACAAAGTACAGGATAGGTTATGTAACAACGAATGATAATGTTTTTACAAAGCAGAATTTGCTTCTGGGCTGTACTTTTTTTTTTTCCCCGTAATTGGATAATCTTCAGCAACGTCTAATTACGATAACTTCGTTAAAACGGAGAATGTATTCATTTTCATATTGTTTTCTATGTTTCAACAGACTATCTCATTCAGACGCAACATAAATTAAATATTGAGGACAAATTTACGTAGTTCCCTGGCACTGTCGCGAAGTCAGAAGCGTACCGGAAAACGTTGGGAGATCGTAGATTAAACGAAGAAAAAATGTGTTGTGATAAAGAAATCGGGAATCGGGTAATTTTAAACGGCAATAAAACGTGCGAATTAAACAACATGGAGTTATTGGATCGCGAATCTCTTATTCTTATTGTACTGAACGCGAATTCGTTCTGATTCGTCATCCTCGACTGCGATCACGCAAAAGCATTGATTCGCCCGAAAACATGGCCTTCGCCGATGTAATAAGAAGGTTTTGCAAGGCAATCCTTATTCCCTAATAACGAATCTTTCGCGAAAAACAGAAATTTGTCCATTGTCGAATCACTCTTTCGCGTTTCATCGACCAGAAACATCGCGTAGGTGGAATTAAAAAATGCAGAAAAGTACCTAATTTCGTGGAACTGACATGCTTGACCCAGAAAGTATCAGAAAATATTAAAAACCAGGGTCACGATCGAGAGGCACCATGTGCTCTAAAAAGTATTAATATAAAATTTATAATTTTGCAACAGAGTAACACGTATAAGTACCCGACATTTTCAAATTTATAGGTTCGTAACTCTTTTCTCAAAAGAAACATCCGTCGAACGACAAAATTATATTGATTCGCCATTCATATCTGTGAGCACGTACTGCATGGATTGATTAGTCCAGTCGGTCTTGCGCTGTGACTTTAAAGCGACGTTATTATAATTATATGCTATAAGATCAGTATTTATAATTTTTTTTACGTTTCACGAACGAAATTTGGCAACTTCTGGATACCTAAATTCACCGGAAGCTATGCAAGAGTGCCACAAAAAATCGGGGTGTCCTCAAGTTCTAGAGCGTATGTAGTTGTTGGCCCGACTTGTGTGTCGTGTTTCTTTGTTTCGCGTAGGGTATCCCTCTCCAGTAACGACCTGGTCGTAGTAATAACGACGTAAGGTTTCCAAGGCGATCGATTTCCTGCATCTCGCAATCGCCGTGATTTCACTCACGGCAAGTGAAATTATTTTCGTACTAATCGGCTCGCGCTATTCGCTTTGAGACATCTCCACGGAAGTCGCAATACCTCTTCCGAAGGACTTTTCAACAAACCATGACAATGCTGCGACAAAGGTGGCGGAACCAAACGTCGCTCTTTCGACAAATGAAATGAGCATTGCACCGATAAAAATTTCTTCCGTGTATTTTTAACGTGAGAACCACCTTTGTATATCATAATCTGAAGAATGCAATGAGCGAATGCCTCGGATCGACACAAAAGGCTCCCCGTTTCCGCGCTGCAACGCGAATTTCGCAACGACCTCCTCGCCGTCTCGGCAGATACATTTAGTATGAAAAGCCGCTTTAAGATTACCCTAAGTCTTACTTCCTTCTTGAAATTAAAACAAAACCAACGTCCGCGTCCGGGAAAAGAGAGAGCCATCTTTCCTATTAATAATATTATATCCTTAATTCGTCGACTGCATTTAGGCATTGAAATGAAAATCTCGTTGTGCGTTTATTGCTGTGTGTATCGTCGATGGAGTCGCGGAAGAATTTTAATATT